GAGAAGCTTTCAGAGATCTGTAACTCTAAAGCAATGTTTCGAGGAGGGAGAAACATGATAGGAAGAGAGGAAGGCAACTTATCAAAACAGAGGGCAGCAGTTTTGTGGAAATTGCGGCAGTAGTGCCACTTGTACAAGCAGAGCACATTAGCCATGGTGCTGTCACGTAGCTTTGTCTCGCTAATCTGAGACACCCCAACACCCCTGTGAGGTGAGCATTGTCACCACGTCCACTGGAGATGACCCTTGAGGACAGACAGAACTTCTAGAGGTGGAGATGCAGGGGGAAGGCACTCCGGGCAGAGGGACTGTGTGAGCCTGTAAACAACTCTGTCCACCCAGCCATGGTCCAGTTTCCTCCAACAACCTGTCCCTTGACTTTTTTTTTTAATTGTAGTAAAATATACATAACATAAAAGTATAAAATTGGCCATTTTAACCATTTTAAGTGTGCAGTTTGGTGGCATTAAGTGCATTCACATTGTCGTGCAATCACCACAACCATCCACCTCCAAAACTTTACATCTTCCCAAACTGAAACTCCATGCACATTAAACAATGTTCTTGGACTCTGTAAGCCTCGAGTGGAAATGGCTCCCCGTCATGGCTGGAATCGTGCCTGTGGGTACCTGACTGCAATGCGGCATCTACGTCCTGCTGGGCACTGGTACAACAGCCCCATGAGGAAGTTGGCCACAATCATCTCCTATCTCCTTTGAACAAATGAAGAAACTGAGGCAAGGGGAGGTAAATAACTTGCTCAAGGTCACACAACTGGGCAGAACTGGGATTTAGACCCCAGCAGCCAGGTTCCAAGACAGTTGAAATACAAGAAAAGACTACAGAACGTGACCACTGACAAACGTGGGGTCTAGCGCATGCTGAGATGGAATAGCATATCCTGAGGGGAGACACTGCCACTGCTGGTGGCTTCCCTGTCCCTCCCTGAGCTGCTGCGCAGGCAGAGGCTGAGGGCAGCCTCACCAGGATGAGCTCCATGGGCCGGAGGTAAGGCTGATGCTGATGTAGGAGTGAAGGTGTCCCAACCTGTCCCAGGCTGGAGCCCTGCAGCCCTGCTGAGCAGCATGGCCGGGTGTGACTGGTGTGACCAAATGGATTTACTCCTTTGGGGAAAGACTCCTAGGGTTTGCCTCCCCCAACGACACTGCCTGGGGAGCACGAGCATAAAAGCAGGAGCAGGCCGTGGGGAGAGGAAGGTGGGAGAGGGTGTGAGGAGCCTCAGGACCGGGAAGCAGAGGGGAGGACAGGAGACACAGGACCAAGGAGATGTTCTCCCTGCTCAGCGGGCTGGCTGTATTGGCTGTCTCCTTCCTGCTTTTGAAACTTGGCACCCTCTACTGGGAAAGGAGCCACCTTCCCCCTGGCCCATTCCCCTTCCCCATCCTTGGAAACCTGTGGCAACTTAGCTTTCAGCTGCATCCGGAGACACTATTCCAGGTAGGCAATCTGTCCCTAAGGGGTGAGCAGATGAACCCTCCTCCCGCTCAGCCCAAGGATACTGAAGATCGAAGGAAATGGGGTCAAACACATGTGGGGGTGAATCCTGGTCCTGCCACTCACTAGCTCAGAGGCCATGAGCCTCATTTTCCTCATCTGTCAAATGCAAGGTTGTAGGTGGATTGCAAAAATTATAGACTTTGTGCAAAGTCTACCTAAGAGGATTCTTGAGGGCAGTAGAAGTCCACTGCAAATGTAACACGATGGAGAAAGCTGTATTGAACAGAACTCTATTCCAGGAGAGCACTGTGTCTATGGCAGGAAGGACTTTTCTGAAATGCCACTTGAGATGGGAGTTGGGGAAATGGGACTCCCAAGGGCACACTCAAGTAACATTACTCAAGTAGTCGCTGCACAAAGCCACCTCCAGGGTAGACAGATGTGCCAGCTGGAGGGCGTCTGTTGGGTTGAGTGGGCCAGGGCTGGACTGCTGCTGAAAGCCACGGGCAGGACACACTGCCCTTTCCCTGGCAAGGCTTGGCTCTCTTCTCAATCAGAGCTGAACAAATATTTTTTAAATATCTGGTTGAAGAGATCAGATAATTATAATCCTCAGGCTCCTCACACACTGGAAAGAACACTACACTGGGAGTGGGGACACCTGGGTTTGAGGTCCTGGTCCTTTGCTATCTTTTTTCTTTTTTTTCTTTGAGACAGAGTCTTGCTTTGTTGCCAGGGCTAGAGTGTAATAGCATCATCATAGCTCACAGCAACCTCAGACTCCTGGGCTCAAGCGATCCTCCTGCCTCAGCCTCCCAAGTAGCTGGGACTATAGGCACGCACAACCATGCCTGGCTAATTTTTTTCTATTTTTAGTAGAGACAGGGTCTCACTCTTGCTCAGGCTGGTCTCGAACTCCCGAGCTCAAGTGATCCTCCCGCCTTGGCCTCGCAGAGTGCTAGGATTACAGGCGTGAGCCACCGTGCCTGGTCTTGGCCTGTGTTTTTTAACCCATAAAATGGAGATGATCCCTACCTGCACACTGATGCTGAGGGGGACTCAAGTGACATATGTAAAGCCTACACAGGACATTAGCCCTCAGGAAACTGCGGTCATTATTTAACATCATCTGTAAAGTGGGTAGAACACGCCCAGCTCCCAGGGCTGATGGGTCGTGGAACTGGGCCCTGACCATTCCGAGCACACGGGGAGCCTGTGGCCCAGGTTCGGCTTGTCTGGGGATGGGGGTGCTCTGCGAAGGTGCCCTGAGGTGAGTGTCGCTGGTCTCTCCGCAGCTGGCCCAGACTCATGGACGCGTGTTCACCGTGTGGGTGGGCCCGACGCCTGTCGTGGTGCTGAGCGGCTTCCAGGCGGTGAAGGAGGCGCTGGTCTCCAACTCGGAGCAGTTCTCTGGCAGGCCCCTCAGCCCGCTCTTCTGGGACCTGTTTGGAGAAAGAGGCAGGGCTGCCCCTCCTGTTGGGGAGGGGAGGTGGCTGGATGGTCACTGCGCTCAGAGAGTTGGGCTGGCCCAGAACTGTTAACAGAGAGGGGCCTCCTGAGAGGAGTCGGGTCTCCTCAAACACGCCTTTGGGGCGAGGGGATGTGACAAGGAACCAGCTCTGGAGGTCAAAAGACCTGGACGCAAGTCTCAGCCCCTCGCCACCTGTGTGACCTTGAGCAAGTGAGCCTCACTGTGCGCTCAGTGTTCTCGTCTGTGAGATGGGGATAACGACTGCTCCTACCTCCCGGGGGTGTGGGGGAGACCAAGTGACCGAAACACCGAGAGTGCCCGATACAGTGCCGGGCTCAGCAAATGCCCTGTTCCCTCCTCACCCCCTCTTTATCTCCTCCTGCATGTCTTGTGGGGACTCTCAAAGGCAAAATCAGCTGGGTGGACTGGGAGAGGGCGTAGTTGAGCCCAGCTCGAGCACACCAGGCTCGCTAACAGCCCTCACTCACTAGTCAGAGCACCAGCCCATCGCTGCTCGGGAGGGTCACTGGGGGTCTGCCCGCTAGGCCTGGGTGAGAGCCTAGCGGTCTTGGCCTGGGAGGCTGGGAGAGGCCGGTGACTGTCCACCTCGCCCCGGACCCAGGGGTCATCTGCAGCAACGGGCACACATGGCGGCAACAGAGACGCTTCTGTGTGGTGACGCTTCGGGAGCTGGGCCTGGGTAAGCCGGCGCTGCAGGCGCAGCTGCAGGAAGAAGCGGCAGAGCTGGCCGAAGCCTTCCACCGGGAGCAGGGTAAGACGCGGGCAGGGGGCAGGCCAGGGAAGGCGCACCCTAATCCCGCCACCCCACGTACACGCAGGGAGGCCGAGCCTTGCTGCACCTGCAGGGGTGTGTGTGTGCGCGTGTGTCCGTGAAGCCTGGGAACGCTAACAGCAGTTTAGAGCTACGTCAGTGCAGTGGGAGTTTCTCTGAGGTGGGTGGGCAGAGGCCCAGGAATGCCCGGGTCACTGGGAAGCCAGAAGCCCTTCTTCTCTATAGCTGGGGCAGTGTTCTCCAATGACACCTAATGCCTTTCAAACTTCCAACCTTTTGCACATGCTACTGACCCTTCCGAATGACCTAGCCCACACCTCTTCCCTCCCCGTGAGAAATGACAGCTCCTTTCAGACCTGGCTGAGGTCATCCACCCCAAGAAGACCTCCCTGAATCCCAGGCACAGCTAGGGATTTGTTCCCGCCTGTGACATACCTGCCCTACATTCTGTTGTCATTTAAAGGTTGTCTGTGTCCCACTCCTCTCTCTGCAAACCTAGCACCTGTCACAGAGCTGGCTCATAGAAGGTGCTCAGTAAGCATTTATAGGGTGCATGAATGAAGAACGGGAATGAACGAATGATAAGTAAATGAGCGGCTGTATACAAGATTGGATGCGTGCTCGGGCAGTGCTCCTTGTGTCTCCTCAGCCTGAGCCCTGCCCCTCTACTCTCAGGTAGACCCTTCGACCCTCAGGCATCCATTGTCAGGTCCACGGCCAGAGTCATTGGGGCCCTCGTGTTTGGCTACTGCTTCCTCTCGGAGGATCCCATCTTCCAGGAACTGACTCAAGCCATCGACTTTGGCCTGGCCTTTGTCAGCACCGTGTGGCGCCGGGTAATTGGCATTTGGGGAGGCAGGCACGCAGGCCACTGGACGGCTGGAGGCCCAAGGCAGGCAGGAGCCTCAGCCAGGGCCTGGCAGGAGGGAGACCGTGGGGCCTGAGTCTGGGTCCTTTAGATGACTTTTGTTCAGCAAGCTGACAAGTTCACAGCATCAATCCTCCTTTGTGTGGTTCAGCGCGAATGGGCAGGGAGTAAGAAGCAAGTTATGTCCTCAGAAATGCAGCTTTCTGGCTCCGAAACGTCCTAGCTTAGCCCCGAACACAATCGCTGCTACCATTGCTCTCATTTCTGTCTAGATTATTTTGGAGGTCTTCAGATGAGAGGCAGCCCTGTGTTGCCCATGTCAGAGGCTGCAGCCCACTCTGGAGACCCCCTGACTCATGCTGGCACCTGAGTAGGCCCTGGGTGGGCCTCTCTCTCCACAGCTGTACGACATGTTTCCCTGGGCCCTCCGCCACCTCCCAGGACCACACCAGGAGATGTTCAGGTACAAAGAGGCTGTGAGGGGCTTCATCCGCCAAGAGATCATCAGGCACAAGCTTGGGGCACCCGAGGCCCCCAAGGACTTCATCAGCTGCTACCTGGCCCAGATCACCAAGGTGGGCCTGATGCAGAGGAATGGAGGGGGCCATCTTTCTAGGCTGCACCTTGTTTCTAAGCCGTGGTCTTGGTTCCTCATTTTTGTCTTGGTCTATAAGCTTTCAGAGCACCCTGAAAGATTGGATTAAAATAGGGTTTTCCTCCCTACCTTTTCCCAGGCCAAGGATGGCTTCTGCAACCAAGGGTAGGGTGGGAAGCAGAAGCTCTGGCTAATGTCAGGGACAGTCCCTCATGAAAAGTCAGTGCAAACCGGGCATGGTGTAGTCCCTGCTACTTGGGAGGTGAGGCAGGAGGATCGCTTGAGCCCAGGAGTTTGAGTCCAGCCTGGGTGACATAGCCAGACCCTGTCTCCAAAAAAAAAAAAGTCAGTCAGCGTAATTCTGGGACTCAGGTCCTCCTCAGGGGTCAGACCCCCAAGGAGTTCTGGTCCCACAAGTCTTAGAACAGGTCAGGCCTCAAAGAGACACCAGGGCTCTGTTAGGAGAGAATTTTAGACCCAGAGTTGTTCCCCCCACCGCCTGCCAGGCCATGGATGATCCTGTCTCCACATTCAACGAGGAGAACCTGATCCAGGTGGTGATCGACCTGTTTCTGGGAGGCACCGACGCCACAGCCACCACCCTGCGCTGGGCACTCATCCACATGGTCCAGCACAGAGACGTCCAGGGTGAGGGGCCCTTGGTTCTACCCTGGCTGACTGCCTGTGCCTGTTACCCCATCACTCCTGCTCTGTGGTGCCGGGGCCGGGGCCTGCTCTCTCACCACTGTGGTATAAGAAGTGTTCATGGCTTTGAGTCAAGAGGGGCTTCAGTTCCCACCCTACTTACTGTGTGATCTTGGGCAAGTCATTCCACCTCTCAGAACCAGTGTAAAAGGGGGCAACATTCTTTTACTCATTCAGTAATGATTCAGCACGTACTGCAATGATGCAGCACCTGTGCTAATGTCCACCTCAAGATCACAGTCACGGAGGGAAAAAGGTGGCTGGAATTCTCTCAGGGACAAACTGGCTACGACCTCAGTTCAAATCCTGGCTCCGCACTTTATTGACCTTGGGCAAAAATATCTGTCCAGTTAGAGCCTCGGTTTCCTCATCTGTAAAATGGTGACAGCAGTTCCCACCTCATAATGCTCTTTGTATATAGAGCACCTGGCACATAGTGGGTGTTGAAACCTGTGTCCTTTTCTTTCCCTCAAGTAGCCCCTGGAAAAGAAAACCCTACAAAATCTCGTTCATAAGCAGCTAGCTCTGCTTCAGAGAAGGGCGTGCTCCCGTGGGACCAGGGGAGGCAGGAGTAACCTAGGTGGAGTCACCTAGGGGTCATGAGCCTCTGGGCAGTCTCTGGCTGGGGTGAGGGCGGTGGGGCGGGATGGGAAGGCCAGGCCTCAGGCGCCCTCCCGAGACCCACACTGAGCTACCCACAGACAGGGTGCAGCAGGAGCTGGACGAGGTGCTGGGCGCTGCCTCAGCTGTCTGCTACGAAGAGCGCGAGCACCTGCCCTACACCCGCGCTGTCCTCCACGAGGTACAGCGCCTCAGCAGTGTTGTGACCGTGGGCGCCGTGCGCCAGTGTGTGACCTCCACCCGTGTGTGCGGCTACCCCATGCCCACGGTAGGCAGCCCCTACGCAGCCCCACGCCCGCCCTGGTACCTACAGAGCATGCCCTTCCTGCCCAGCACGGCCATCTGCTATGGTTTCTGCCAACCTGCCAGCTCTCCGTCAGTCAGTCATCCATCTATCTATCTATCTATCTATCTATCTATCTATCTATCTATCTATCTATCATCTATCTATGGCATTTGGGATGCGGGGTTGTTTATAAAAGAGTGTACTCACCAAGGGATAATTTTTAAAGTTCCCTATTGCTCAGAGATAACCCTTGCAAACATTATAATGTACTTCTTTCTAATCTTTTTTTATCCAAATACATTTTACATAGTTGTGATTATGCTAAATATATCATTCTGAATCCTTCGTTTCACTTAACATATTATTCAGATCCTTTTAGATCAGTGGTTCTCAAACTTCCAGGTACATTGGAGTCACTGGAAGGCTTCTTCAAACAGACACTGCTGGGCTCCACTCCCAGAGTGTGCAGTGGGGCCTGAGACTTTGCCTTTCTAACAGATTCCCAGGCAGTGCCGATGCTGTGGGTCCAGAGACCACACTTTGAAAACCACTGATCTCCGTTACTCTTAATGGCTGCATAATGTTCCACCAAATGGATGTTTTGTAATTTTTAACCCTTTTGATGAACAGTTAGGCCATTTGCAATTTATGTGCCTTAGAACTGGTTTCTAGCAGAAATGGCTTTCTTGTTTCTTTCATTTTTATAACAAGGTTGAGAAACAAGTACCAAATAAGCAGAGAGAGAAGAAGAGAGTTATATAAAAATAAGTCAAGAACAGCAACTTTGGCCAGGCGCGGTGGCTCACACCTGTAATCCTAGCTCTCTGGGAGGCCGAGGTGGGCGGATTGTTTGAGCTCTGGAGTTCGAGACCAGCCTGAGCAAGAACGAGACCCTGTCTCTACTAAAAATAGAAAGAAATTAATTGGACAACTAAAAATATATAGAAAAAATTAGCCGGGCATGGTGGCGCATGCCTGTAGTCCCAGCTACTCGGGAGGCTGAGGCAGGAGGATCGCCTGAGCCCAGGAGTTTGAGGTTGCTGTGAGCTAGGATGACGCCACGGCACTCTAGCCCAGGCAACACAGTGAGACTCTGTCTCAAAAAAAAAAAAGAACGGCTACTTCATATGCACATAAAACTTGAATCTGAGCTTTACTGGAGTGAAGGCTATTAAAAAAAGGAAATCCCAGTTAGTTATGAATCTTATTATGTAATAAAAGGAAGCATGCCTGTATCAGGGAAGCTTTGGCTCATCCAGTTAGTTATTAGAAGGATCATCATTCATAATGTTCTTTCAAGGGCCAGGGGGCAATGTGTAGGATAATGCCTTAAGTAGGAGTTTTACAAAAATTCAGAAATATTCTCCAAAATAGTAGCTGCTTCTTATCTCAACCCCTTTTAAGAGGTAAAAGTTTACATGAAGTTGAATGCATTTCTACAGGAAGCCAAGATAATATACTTGAAGTTTACAGCTCTCTAGTGATCCAGGCTGAGACAGGTTTCCAAGAGGGTTTTTGACATGAGCTGGACAATAACATGATAACATCTGCTCTTTGCCAACGTGTACTGTGGGCTGAGGGCTTTGCACCCACTCCGTCATTCAGTACAGCGGTGTTCTGTATTGCTGAGCCATCTAGGTCATTCAATGTCAATAGACATTGAATTATTTATCTATCTTGTTGTGTAACAAATTACCCAAAAACTTAGCAGCTTAGAACAACAGCATTTATAATTTCCCTGTTTCTGAGGGTCAGGAAACTGGGTGCAGTTTAGCTGGATGGCTCTGATTCAAGGTCTCTCATGAAGTAACCATCAAGTTGTTGGTGGGGCTGCAGTCTCATCTGAAGACTCCACTGGGGAGGCTCCACTTCAAGCTCACTCACATGGATGTCTTCAGGACTCAGCTGCTCACTGGCTAGAGACCACCCTCAGTTCCTCCACACAGCACAGCTCACAACAGGGCATCTGACCTCCAACAGAGGTAGCAAGCAAGAGAACACCCAAAATAGAAGCTAAAATCTTTTTGTAACTTAATCTCAGACATGATATCCCAGTACTTTTACCATACTCTGTTTATTAGAAGTGAGTTACTAGATCTAGCCCAACTCAAGGGGAGGTGATTGCACAAGGGTGTGAATCTTGGGAGTCCAGGATCATTGATGGCATTTTAAAGATAGCACACCACAGATGTGTAGGTGGTGAGGTTGCCACTTTAATGAAAATGAAACAGTCACTCACCTTGGTGCCCTGGTGCAGGGTGACTCCTCTATACCTAGAGGTGGTGGCTGGAGCCCCAAGACTTTCCTCAGAAAGAGGCTTTGACTTTGCCCTGATGCCCAGCCTGTGCTTAGTGGAAGCTGCAATGGTACGACATGGCACACTAGGAAAGCGTTGGGGGGAGAAGGTGTGGGAGCCCCCTCTTCACCATAACTGTCTTCGTTCAGCACTTATGACTGTGGTTCAAGGCAGACTCGACTTGACTCCAGGGGCCCTGCCAGGATGCCATTATTAACTTCTTATTAATTTGGTCAGACTTGAGATCTCCACCTCCACACATTTCTTCTCCATAGCAACCCTATCCTTTAGATGCTGCTGTTGTTATTCCTTTTTTACAAATAGGGAAATTTTAGCGTAGAGAGCATAAGTAACTGCCCAAACACATCGCTAATAAGTGACTTAACTGAGTTTCAAATTCACGTCCCTCTGATGCCAAAATTTTTTTCTTTCTACCACATGCCCTGCTATTTGTATTGCTCCAAAAATGACTCTCTCGGTAAGCAGTGAACCAACATGTTAAATGGAGACGTTTTGCATACCCACTGGTCTGTCTGATTGGCGGATACTGAGCTGTCCTTGGCAGGAGTTGGCCAGCAAGTTCATAGGTTTGTCAAGTGTCTCTGGGAATGTGAGGATAGGACCACGTCATCAGTTCATCTTGCAGCTGGCATGGCAGAGGACCTAGGCCCAGATTGTCTAGAAGCTGTGCCAAATTAGGTCAGTTAAGAAGGGAGGACCAGAGTTCGGCTCTGTTTTATGCCATTTGGGATTCGAAATTTCCTTATTAAGAGGCCCTTCCTGCCAATTTGATTTTAGATAAAGGCTCCAGAGGACTATTAATAACCTGAAATCAATATTGAGCTTTTACAACTTGGGCGAGAGATGAACGCTGAAAGTGGAATCAAAGCTTGACAGTAGATCATTAAATGTTACAGATATTCCTAAATTGTTCCTAACCATCTCATCAGCTGAGTGATAGTGACAACAGCAATGGTTCCTAATACAATGGTTGCACTTCAAGACTTCAAGCCTGTCTCTTCTCTGACATGCTATTTGATTGTGAACTCCAAACTGCCATCTACTGGGGAGAAGCTGGCATAGAGTCCCCAGAGGGCACCCAGCAGGCAGATGGCTCTACAATATGGGGGAGAAGGAGAGTCACCCTTTTTGTGTGCTGGATAGGCTATTCTCTGAACCTGTTCCATGAGCTAAGACCAGTCAGTCACTGCGCAAGGAGGCCAGAACATCATGTAAAACAGGATACAAATAATTCTGGAGTGAAGAGAGCATCTTGCTAGGAGCCTCTTTCTCTTAAGGTGATTATTAAGAAGTGTTGCAATGCAGAAAGTTACTTAATCCCAGGTGGAAAAAGGGGAAATTGCTAGGACTAGAACTGGGAAATGTGTGGCTCACTCAGGCAGCAGCAAGAGCATGTGCCTCCCCAACACCTCCGCTTAAAGCTACGGAGTGACCAGGTCTGGGCGCCCTATTGGTCCAGATAGCAAGGGTCAGGCCCCTCCCTTAAGCTTACGGCACTGCAACAACAACAAAAAAGTGCCTTCTGAAAGTATTTACACAGGCTTAATTTCTACATTCTTTATTCTGTTTGGGATGGATGCAGGCTTCAAACTCTTCTGAGCTTTTTTTTTTTTTTTTTTTTTAATTTCAAGCTATCTTTGTCAAGACCAAGAATCCTGTAGTCAGTGTTCTGTTTCCTATACGGGTAGCTGGTTTAAGTCTATGGTATTTGGTAAATGAGCCATGGAGTAGGAGACCCTCCCCAGAATCCTGGAGCTCATTGTCCTGGGACTATAACCAACCCATTTTTGCTCCACTTTGGCCTCTGTATGCTGCTTCCATTTGGCCTGTGTGTGCCCAGGGCCTGCATGGTAGGAGCAGAAGTTACTCTGCTCGCATCTCATCAGTCTGATTATTTTTCTAATCACTCACTTCTCCTTTGAGATAGAGTGAGGGCTAGGATTAGGGTAAGGGTGAAGGTCTGGGTTGGAGTTAGGGTTTGGGTGAGGGTTAGAGTTGGAGTTAGGTTTATGTTTTCCTCTCCCCAACCCTAAAGAGTGAAGCTTTCTGTCTCCTTTTCTTCTCTCTGTCTTTCCATCACTCTATCCTTTCTCTTTGTTTGCCATTCCATTTCTCATCTTTCTCTCTTTCTCACCCTCTCACACACACACACACACACACACACACACACACACACAACCCCTCATCCCGGTGTTTGCTGACCTGTGCCTTACTTTGTCCCTTCCAGACATGCCCATAGCTGTTGGCCTTCTCCATAGGATGCAATGGCTCTGTGTCTCTAGACCTGGTTGAGAATCTTCAGAACAAAGACGGGTGGCCCATAGCCAGGAGGGTGTCATGCTCAGTTCCTTCACTGATGTGAGCCTTGAGGAAGGGCACCCTGAGAGGGCTGCCTGCTGAACCTTCCTACGGTCCCCTGGGCTACTCCCGCAAGCACACTGGGTGTTCTTTGAGCTCACCTGGGCCTAGTGTCAGGGCCATCTGAGGCTCTTTGAGCCACACCAGCTCCTCTCTTCAGGTCACCATCATCTTGCCCAACCTGGCCTCCGTGCTGTATGACCCTGAGTGCTGGGAGACCCCTCGACAGTTCAACCCTGGCCACTTCCTGGACAAGGATGGAAACTTTGTGGTCAATGAGGCCTTCCTGCCATTCTCTACAGGTACTAGGCACAGTGCTGGATTCGGGGTGGTAGTTGAGGGTGTGGAGGGGCAGACACAGGGACAGCTACCACCCTCTAACCTTTCTGCTTCCAGGGCATCGGGTATGTCCAGGTGACCAGCTGGCTCGAATGGAGCTCTTCCTGATGTTTGCCACCCTCCTCAAGAACTTCCGGCTCCAACTGCCAGAGGGGAGCCCGGGGCTCAGGCTGGAGTACATCTTTGGGGGCACTCTGCAGCCCCAGCCCCAGGAGATCTGTGCAGCGCCCCGTCAGGGCAGCCCCAGCCCAGGTCCTCGGGCAGAGTGCCTGTAGCCAGCTGGGCATCTGGAGGCCTGTCCCCCATGAAGTCCTTCCTCAGTCTCTTTTGGCTTCTGCAAAGTTAGAGAAGAGGAAGGACAGGGGTTCACGCAGCTCAGCTGCTCATGGTTCCCCCTAACACAAGCTCTGTGGGGTGACACTGGAGAGTAGACTTATCAAGGATTCTACGAAGGTAGCTGAGTTTGGGTAGCTCAGTTCTTAGGTTAGGTTAGTTATGCATTGGTAGGGAAGGACATTACAAGGTTAGTTAATCCTGACATTAAATCAGTTCACAATGTTAATTTGGGGAATTAAGCCTCACAAGGTAGCAGCTATGTAGGTTCAGAGGGAAAGGCAAACTTTTAAGCAAAACTATAAATATAATAATGCATGCAAGTACTCTGGATGCTGGGGACTGATAAGCACCCCCACCCCCCAAAAAAGGGGAGGTGGGGAGGCAGCTTATTTTCTGTCCTCTTCTGCCCTCTCTTGACCATAGGGAAGCAGTGCAGGTCCCTACAGTGCTAGGATGGGGAAGGATCTCCCCCAGTCTCCACCAGGCAAAGCCAGCAGCCAATAATAATAACTGTTCCCAGCAAATTCTCCACCAAGGACTCCCTTTACTTTGCCCACAAGGGTTCCCAAGTTTTGAAACATTGTCTCTCCAGACAAATCTTGTTATTAAAAAAATTGCTTGTATTAAGGAAAGGCAAATTAAAATCAAAATGAGATACCACTACACATCTATTAGAATTGCTATAAATGCAACCCTGACGATCCCAAGTACTGGAAAAGATGTGGGGCAACTGGAACTCTCATGCACTACTGGCAGGAATGCGAAATGGCACAACCATGCTGGAAAATAGTTTGGCAATTTCTTGTAAAATTAAACATTACACCACACAACCCAGTTGTCCAGCTCCTAGGTATTGTTACCCAACTCCTAGGTATTGTTGCCCAAAAGAAATGAAAATATATTTTCACACAAACACATACTATATGATTCTGCTTTGAAAAGGCAAAACTATGAGGCCTGGCGCGGTGGCTCATGCCTGTAATCCTAGCTCTCTGGGAGGCCGAGGCGGGCGGATTGTTTGAGCTCAGGAGTTCGAAACCAGCCTGAGCAAG